GATGAGATGGTTGGATAGTGTTGTCGAAGCTACCAGCATGAGTTTGACCAAACTGCAGGAGGCAGTGGAAGACAAGAGTGCCTGGCGTGCTCTGGTCCATGGAGCCACGCAGAGTCGGACACGACTAAACGACTAAACAACAACGTTTCCTGATTCTTCATTTTATCATGATCTTTAACTACATTTGTGTATCTGAGGCTGTGTACATGCCAGACATTTGAAGCGTATGACTTTCTCAAAAGAATCCTGGGAACTGTATTTTTCCCCCATCACAGAACTCTAATTCTCAGCACCCATAACAAACTACAGTTCTCATGATTCTTTAGGAGTTCTGTGCATGCAGCCCGTATCAAATGCTTTCATGCAACACCATAGGAAGCGATTCCCACAGGAAGCAGTGCGGTTTTGATATTTGTAAAGAATTTCTTGACATTTCACTTGGTAGGGCTACGCCCTGGCTCCTTCCACTGACTTTCATCAGAGAGTAGAAGAAATGAAGAGTGAAAACAATGCAAGAAACCAAAATACAGCGGAACCTCGGTTTTCGAATGTCTCCGTTGACACAAGTTTTGTGGTAAAATAAAATCACTATTTTTTTTAAAAAATATTTATTTATTGCATTTATATCCATACTTCGTGTGCTGGGGACATTTCTTCATCATGAGTTCATTGGCTCTACCTGGGTGGGAGGCATGGCAATGTAATTGCAGGCCTGGGCCCTGTTTGGCTTGGTGGAGATTTCCAGCTGTAGGTGCCATTTTTGCCCTGCTTCCAAGGAGTGTATTTTCCCTTCTCCTCCTGGACGGAGTGTATATTAGATATGGTGGCTGTTCAATCAGCATAGCAATGGTGTTTCTCCACTCTCCATCCATGCAGAATGATTCTTCTGTCCGTTGAGTCTCCTAGGCCTGGCTTAAAAGTAAAGGTAAAGGACCCCTGACACTTAAGTCCAGTTGCGAACGACTCTGGGGTTGCGGCGCTCATCTCGCTTTACTGGCCGAGGGAGCTGGCATTTGCCCACAGTCAGTTTTCCCAGGTCATGTGGCCAGTATGACTAAGCCACTTCTGGCAAAACCAGAGCAGCACACAGAAACAGTTTCCCGCCACAGCAGCACCTATTTACTTGCACTTTGATGTGCTTTCGAACTGCTAGGTTGGCAGGAGCAGGGACCGAGCAACGGGAGCTCGAACTGCTGACCTTCTGATTGGCAAGCCCTAGGCTCAGTGGTTTAGACCACAGCGCCACCCGTGTCCCCTTTATGTGGGTGTAAATAACATAGCAGACACAAATTATTTGTAATTTAAAGTCAAATGGAAAAGGAGTAAAAACTGGTTAATGGGAACATACCTAAAAGGCAGATAAATTGCTTGCCATTTCTTAGCCACCTGCTACTAATTACTTTAGCTACAGGTTCCTAAGTCAACACAGATGTTGCAAGACTAATCACCAGAAAAACAGGTAAAATGCTAAAGGGGGGGGGCACCCCACAATAACAAAAAAAAAGTGACATGTGCTGTGAAGCAGAGTTTGGGTATTTCTCTCTCTCTCTCTCTCTCTCGTGTGTGTGTTTGTGTGTAAAGAAAAAAGAAAAAGATATCTTGCTTTCTTTTTTCTTTGTTCAGCTTTAACCAGAGTCCTATAGATGGGAGCAGTTGTCCCTCTCCTTTGGGACATATGAATCCTTCAATTGGTCCACCCTTTACTGAATAGCCTGGGTGGTGATTTTTTGTGTGTGAGGACTTTTTTTTTTTTAACAAAACATTTGTAAAACGATGTAGAAATGTCACCAACTGAACTTAACACTGGAAAAATAAGGAGCTCAGAGAAACCGAAATGGACAGATTCATCCGTCTGTCCCAAGAGACAATGGGATTCATCTCTGGGGGTGAAGTCAAACCACTGTGTTAGCATCACCAAATTAACCTTCTTGGGGTCCATGCCTGGAATGTATTATTATTATTATTATTATTATTATTATTATTATTATATTGAATTTATATACTGCCCTATACCGGATGTCTCAGGGCGGCTTATAGAAAAGATCATAATATATAAAATCAAAATAAGAACAATAACCCAATAATACCCACTCCCCAGAAAAGAGCAGCATTTTAAAAGGGTATAGGATGTCAATCAGGTCAACCAAAGGCCTGGTGAAAAGGAACGTTTTTGCTTGGCACCTAAAGGTATATAATGAAGGTGCCAGGCGAACTTCCTTGGGGAGAGCATTCCACAGACAGGGAGCCACTTCAGAGAAGGTCCGTTCTCATGTTCTCATGTGTATGGAGGTCCTGGGCTGCCCCAGCAACATGTTCCCCTCTCGGCCTTGCTGATATGGTCTGAAGGAAAGCTGAGCAATGCATTTGACACCAGCTTGACTGTAGGAGTTACCAAAAGGAGGGAAACATTTTAACAGGGAGAAATGTAAAGTATTGCACTTGGGCAAAAAAAATGAGAGGCACAAATACAAGATGGGTGACACCTGGCTTGAGAGCAGTACATGTGAAAAGGATCTAGGAGTCTTGGTTGACCACAAACTTGACATGAGCCAACAGTGTGACGCGGCAGCTAAAAAGCCAATGCAATTCTGGGCTGCATCAATAGGAGTATAGCATCTAGATCAAGGGAAGTAATAGTGCCACTGTATTCTGCTCTGGTCAGACCTCACCTGGAGTACTGTGTCCAGTCTGGGCACCACAGTTCAAGAAGGACACTGACAAACTGGAACATGTCCAGAGGAGGGCAACCAAAATGGTCAAAGGCCTGGAAACGATGCCTTATGAGGAACGGCTAAGGGAGCTGGGCATGTTTAGCCTGGAGAAGAGGAGGTTAAGGGGTGATATGATAGCCATGTTCAAATATATAAAAGGATGTCACATAGAGGAGGGAGAAAGGTTGTTTCTGCTGCTCCAGAGAAGCGGACACGGAGCAATGGATCCAAACTACAAGAAAGAAGATTCCACCTAAACATTAGGAAGAACTTCCTGACAGTAAGAGCTGTTCGACAGTGGAATTTGCTGCCAAGGAGTGTGGTGGAGTCTCCTTCTTTGGAGGTCTTTAAGCAGAGGCTTGACAACCATATGTCAGGAGTGCTCTGATGGTGTTTCCTGCTTGGCAGGGGGTTGGACTCGATGGCCCTTGTGGTCTCTTCCAACTCTATGATTCTATGAAGGTGCCATTATTTCTTCACACATTTGGTTTGAGTGCCAGAAAAGGACTGAAGATATACATTTGACGGCGTAGGAGTTTATACTAAATGGGATCCAGTTCTTCTCCTTGCCCACCGTATAAGATTTTCCAAAAAGTGATTGGACATTCTGTATGTTTGTTTGCAAGTATAACAGCAAGAATAGTATAATGTGGGATCAGGGATTCATTTTTAAGTTTTAAAGGGCAGCGTTCTGGAAGATATCATACTGTTCTAGAAGCTCTCATACTCAAAATGAGAGGATCTATGAACCCTGAGGAATTTGAACACAGATCCTGCCCCCCTCCCAGTGATTCCTAATTATGAACCATCTGGACTTAAGAGGTTATAGAACATGCTAAAAATAATTGCCATCGGTCTGCTAGCTGGATGTGATAATTTATAATTTCCTTTGATCCATCCTCCACAGCTTTTGTTTTCACATGGGTAAACAGACAAGAAAAGAAAATGCACAGATTTTGGATTTATTTTTTCACACAAAGCTATAGTGCAGGTCAAAAATGGGAAAAAACAAAACAAAACCAAAACCCTTTTGGTATATTTGGCTGCATCTGTTTCAGGAATCTGCATTAATGCATGCTAAACGATGACAAAAAAACACAAAACCCAACACCAATGAGAGTGGGCTTTTGAAATGAATTGTGTGAGTTAAAGCACTAGAACATCAGAAGGTAAAAAAAAATTAAGCCATTGCAACAGGTACAGATCTGAGGCTGAGAACTACATCAGGCAGGAGAATCTTAGATCAAATACTCCCGATTTTTCTTTTCACCCTTTGGGGTCGTTCCTCTGATAAATAATTCAGAGACTGCAGTGGCAAGTAGTTTGCATACAGACAAGATTAAAAAGAATGCTTTGTCTGGGTTAAATTTACAATCTGAAACCTTCCTTTAAAATGTCAAGATGGTAATTAATTTAAGATGGTTTGCCAAGCAGAATCGTCCGACCCTGTCAGAATAATTTCATTTCCTGAGGGTGAAAGGGATGTTGCATTTATCTTAGCAAAGCTTTGGGTTTTATTTTTGCTGTCTCTCTCTCTCTCTCCCCGCCCACCCCCACCCCCGGTCCTCCGTCCCTCCACTCTGTTTGTAACATGTTTCTCATTGTCTTCCAGAAGTAAAAATTAGCTCTGCAATCTTTCCTGCTGAATTTCACTCTCCTCCTCCTCCCTGAGATAAAGCAAATATGGGAAGCAAATTACTACTGAACAGGGAATGAAATACCAGCCAGAGCTTTCGACTCAGATGGAAGAGGAGCCTTTTCTGCTGAGAGTGCTCTCCCCTGTGTGCACATTCAGACAAGCATCTTTGAGTAGCAGCAGGAAGTGCATAAATTCAGCAGCATGAAGATTGGGTTTGGGGCATAGCAACGCCTCCTGTCCTGCAGGAGCACAGCGGCGAGATTCCTTATGAATGAGTGCCCTAAATGCACTGCCACCAGCGGGACTTCTTGCTCTTCAAGCTATGTTCACTGGTGTACAAATGCATTAGAAATCAGGCCATCTAAGGCTCATTCCCACCGGGCAGCGTGAATGTGATTAAACAATAGAGCATCATTTGCAGAATTCATTTAATCAAATGACGTATCCCAACAGATAGATTGCAGATAAATGGATGAAAGACAAAGCTGCTAAAGGTGGTTGAACCAAAATTTTCTCATCTCCCACTTGGGCGAGGCAACTTGGATGGCTTTAAAAAAGTGTTGGACAAATTTGTGGAGAATCACAGAATTGTAGACTGGAAGGGACCTCGAGGGTAATCTAGCACAACCCCCTGCAATGCAGGGATTTTTTGCCCAATGTGGGACTTGAACACCTGTCCTTGAGATTAAGGGTCTCATGCTCTATCAACTGAGCTATCCCAGCTGCAGAAGGCTATTAATGGCTACTGGCCATGATAGCTCTGCTCTGCCACCTCAGGTGGAGGCAAAGATGCTTCTGAATACCAGTTCCTGGAAACAACAGGAAGGGAGAGGGATGGAAGCTTCAGGGCCTGCTTGAGGGTTTCTCACAAGCATCTGAGTGGCCACTGTGAGAACAAGATTCTGGGTGAGATGGGCCATTGGTTTGATCCAGCAGGCTTTTATGGATCTGGAATGGGTTAAATAGCAGGAAGTAGAGAGCGGGACTAAATGGACAGTTCTCCAAAAGATGTAGAAGTGAGAGTCCCTCAAGGGTCACTACTGGGATCTGTGCTTTTCAATTTATTCATAAATGATCTGGAGCTAAGGGTGAAGTGGCTATATTTGCTGATGATACCAAATCGTTCAGATTAATTAGATTGTGAAGAACCTCTCCAAACTACCAGATAAGTGCTGGAGATGCAAAGAATTGGAGGGAACGTTCTTTCATATGTGGTGGACTTGTAAAAGGGTAAAAGAGTATTGGGAAATAATCCATAATGAATTGAAAAAAATGTTTAAAAGTACCGGTACTTTCCCCAAAGAACCAGAGTCCTTTCTGTTGGGGATAATTCAGACCGAAATTCCCAGGTGTCAAAAAAGGTTATTTATGTATGCCACTACCGCGGCTCGTGTTTTGTTACCCCAAAATGGAAAACGAGTGAGGTCCCAACCAAAGAAGAATGGCAACTCAAGTTGACAGAATATGCAGAACTTGATAGAATAAGAGAACAAGAAGAACATAGGTTTAAAAAAGATTGGGAAACGTTTATTGAATATGTGGGAAATAATTGTGTACGGCTGAAAATGCTGGCAGCGTTAAGATAAATTCAACAGTGTAAAGACGTTTTGATGGATGCAATAATGGAATACTGAATGGTACTATAGCTTTTGTAAAATATGCAGGGAATTATGATATGTAAAATGAACCATGGGAAGAGAAGAAGGGAAAGTAAAAATGGCAAATGCAATTCAAGGTGTGTGTTCGGGCAAAAAAATATTCAGACCCTAAGAAGATAATGCTGGATCAAACCAATGGCTCATCGGGGCTGTCAGGGAGAGGGATTGAGTGGGGTGTATTTTAGAGTTCTGAGTAGATTTTCTGCCAGTGCCAGGCTGCAGGATACATGGGAGTCCTACACTGCCATGGTGGGTGACCCAAGGAATGAGTTATCACACACAAACCAAGCCCATATTACACATGCCAGTTCATGAAAGTATCAATTTGGTGATCTTTACTGCAGACAGTTCTGCACTACAGAGGTTATTGCAATAGACATGATTACTTTTAAAATATCAATATTGTCTTGCTTACTTGGGGGAATTAGCAAGAGCAAACAAATGCCAATACGAATGAATATGTAATGTTTATTTACAGAAAATGTCAGACAGTTGGTAGAATGGCTCTGACGCTTTGAGGCACAAGTTCAAAAATATAGAGCACCAAAGTGCTTAGTTGTTACCCATTATGCAGGCTGCACAAACCCACATTGCCTGGTCCGTAAACAGAGATTGCCTTATATGGAGTAGACATGGGCACCAGAGAAGCCAGCAAAATCACAGGAAAACCTGAATGCAACTGACTGGAATTTGGACTAATATGAGGGTCAGAGACAGTGAGATTTGGCAAGTAATAATGGTAGGGCTAGAATAGAAAAATGAGACACTAATAATAATGAGAACCTGCCCCTTCAGTTTCACCATGACCTGCTAGGGTGCATCTTCACTGATATTTAAAAATAGCTATGTGCACATTTTGGGTTGGTCAGTCTGCTTGGATCTAAGATGCTTGCCTCTTGTTATCTATAAATATCCAGAAAAACAGAGTTGGGATCAAGCTATGATGAGCAGGCTGAAAGTAGGCTAGCCCTTGAGCTGAGTCTTCTGAACACTCTGGGAGCCAATCACAGTTAAGTTCTAGGTCACCATGCTAGCCAGTAAAGGGGTGAAGCCCGTGAGTGCCTATAAGCCCACTTCTACTCCCAACAAACTTCTTTGTTGATGAGCACCTGGAAGCTCCAGTACGGTTAATTGGGCTTTTCGTAGATTTGCCCTCTAAGCTTTGGTTGGGGAAAAGAACCCCCTCAGGAACTTGCCTGGAGTGGTTCATACACCCAGAGAATTGGAACTCAGGGAAGGAGCGAATGGGGAGGACTTTCCTCAGCACCAAAAGGTGTAGCAATAGAAATATCTCATCTCTTCAGCCCAGGTGCAGAAATGATAGACTGGCATGTAACTACTGTTTACAGAACCTTTTTAGTGTTAGCATTTAGCATTATTTGTTTTTATTCCTAAAAACAAGAGTGAACGATAAAGCACTGTTATCACGAATTGAAAAAGACAGTTAGCTAGCAAATGCCTCCCATTCCATAGGATATATCATAAGCATTGCTTTTTATGACGTTGTTAATAAAAGCATAACGACTATGAAACTGGAAGCATGGTACTGAAAATATGATGGAGCAGGCAAAACACTGATATATCATGTCTATAATCACTTTCAGAAAAGCTGTAATTCTGGTGCACCACAATATCTTAGAGGCTCTACCTGTTTTGTTTACACATTGGGTCTGTGTCTTGGCTGCCACCCAGGCCATGGGGCCAGAAGCCATGGAAGCAGCAAAGTTGTCCCAATGGGTGGGCACACCCACCCACCCAGCTTTAAAAGAGAGGGCAGGGTGAGCTTCTTCTTCTTCTTCTTCTTCTTCTTCAATTAAATTTGTATACTGCCTTATACTCGCATGTCTCAGGACGGTTCACAGGATAAAATCTGAATATAAAATCACAAAATATATAATCAAAATAAAAACAAGAACAACCCAATAATCCCCCCAACACACACACACACACACACACACACACACACACTTTAAAACAGCATAGGGTGTCAGTCAACCAAAGGCCTGATTAAGAGAAACGTTTTTTGCCTGGCGCCTAAAGGGGCCTTGGGAAAGCATTCCACAGATGGGGAGCCACTACCGAAAAGGCCCATTTCCTGTTGCCACTCTCCAGACCTCTCATGGAGGGCCTCAGAATATGATCTTAGGGTCTGGGTAGGTTCATATGGAAAGAGGCAGTCCTTGAGGTATTGTGGTCCTGAGCTGTTTATGGCTTTATAGGTCAAAACCAGCACTTTGAACTGGGTCCAGAAACTAATTGGTAGCCAGTGCAGTCTGACCAGGATTGGTATAATACACTCAAATTGTCTTGCTCTGGTAAGCAACCTGGCCGCTGAATTCTGCACTAGCTGAAGTTTCCGAACCTTCTTCAGAAGCAGCCCTACGTATATAACGCATTGCAGTAATGCATTACCAGAGCATAGATGACAGTGGTTAGGCTATCCCTGCCCAGATAGGGGCATAGCTGGGCCATCTGAGCCTCAAGTGACAGCAAAGTATCCAGGAGTACCCCCAAGCTGCAAACCTGCTCCTTCAGAGGAAGTGTAACCCCATCAAGAGCAGGTGACCGCCCACCCACCCAGTCTCAATAACCACCCAATAACAGTGTCTCAGTCTTATCTGGACTGAGTTTCAGTTTGCTGGCTCACTCAGTCCATTATCAACGCAAGACACAGGTCCCAGCACTTCCACTGCCTCACCTGAAGCTGTAAAGGAGAAACAGAACTGAGTGTCATCAGCACACTGCTGACAATGTACTCCAAACCTCTGGATAATCTCACCCAGTGGTTTCATGTTGAACAGCATAGGGGATAGGATTGAGTCCTGTGGAACCCCACATTGAAGGCTCCATGGGGCTGAAAAGCACTCTCCAGGCAACATCCACCAGGAACGACCATCCAAGTAGGACTGGAACCACTGCAAAGCGGTGCCACCCACTCCTAGTTCGGACAGCCGCTCCAGAAGGATACCATGGCCAATGGTCATAGCTGTCAACATTTCCCTTTTTTAAAGGGAAATTCCCTTATTCCGAATAGGATTCCTCACAAGAAAAAGGAAAAGTTGGCAGCTGTGCCGATGGTATCAAAAGCCGCTAAGAGGTCGAGGAGAATTAACAGGGACAGGTTTCCCTTGTCTCTCTCTTGACAGAGGTCATCATACAGGGAGACCAAAGCAGTTTCTGTGCCAAAACTGGGCTTAAATCCTGATTGAAACAGATCTAGCGTAGCCATGAAGTTCTCATGCCTTGTGTAACCGTCGATCATGTGGAAGTTCATTGCATCAGGGAGGTTGTGTCTGCTCCCAGTGAAAAGAGTGCCACAAAGTCCTGGGCAACCACACTGTGTTCTTCCTTTCTCACCCTGGTTCATCCACCCTTAGTGGTTAAAGGTAAAGGTAAAGGAACCCCTGACCATTAGGTCCAGTTGTGACCGACTCTGGGGTTGGGGCGCTCATCTTGCTTTATTGGCCGAGGGAGCCAGCGTACAGCTTCCGGGTCATGTAGCCAGCATGACTAAGCCGCTTCTGGCTAACCAGAGCAGTGCACAGAAATGCCATTTACCTTCCCGCCAGAGCGGTACCTATTTATCTACTTGCACTTTGACATGCTTTCGAACTGCTAGGTGGGCAGGAGCAGGGACCGAGCAACGGGAGCTCACCCCGTCGCGGGGATTCGAACCACCGACCTTCTGATTGGCAAGTCCTAGGCCCTGTGGTTTAACCCACAGTGCCACCTGATGCCAAATGCAGACTCCTTTGCTGTGCTCCCTTCTCTGGGAGAGAGGAGAAGAGATGGGAGTCCTACTTCCCCACCTGGGGCAGCCATATCCTGAGAGGGCGATGCATCCACCTTCTCCAGCCTCTGTCCCCCAGTCTCAGTTCCTGGTGTTAATTCTCAAATATTTGAGGGATTATCACTTCTAAATTCCTGCCTATGCCCATATCCAGTGACCAGGGACAGGACCAGCTATAAAATAAATACGTGGATTTGTGGGAAATGAAGGTGATACACACTTGGCTTGGACCTGGAACCTGGAACCATGAAGAGCTCTGTCACAAACAGCCTTAA